AGCACTTGGTATCAATATTTCGATTTGGAACCGACTGCCTGGAACCTCTTCCTGATTGCTTACCTAGCCTTGCTCTCGAGTACTCATCTTCAACATCTTATACTTCCTCTTCGTCTACCACATCTGCTTGGGGAATAGATAAGGGAAGTGAAAATGATACCTCGAAGCATGTGGAGATAATGTGCTAATTCATCATCAGCTAGGGACAAGGAGAATGAAAGAAATGGTGGGCACTTGGAAAGATTGAAGAAAGAAACAGACCATTACCTCTACCTCGTGTCTGCCTGCCGTGTAGAAGAAACAAGCAGAGAAGAATGCAGACTGCACAATCAAATCAACCCAGTAGAAGGAGTCTGATTTGAAACCAAGGAACTCTGATATTCCTTGCTCAGAATTCGAAACCAGTTCGAGATCAAAGCTGTGGAAAGTCAACAAGATCATCTATCTCCAAAACCAGATTTGCATTCTTAAACTCTACTCTTTCTGGTTTTTACTTTGCCATACTTGTCATGTTTATTCGTTATTTGTTTGTTTGCTTGTTTTTGTGTGAGTTTATGCTTGAAACATTGAGGACAATGTTTGATTTAAGTGTGGGGGGGGTAACCAAGTTGTTTGGCATAAAATTAGTTGGAGTTTATCACTCATTACTTCTAGTGTTGTTCTTTGCTGTTTTAAAGTGTTTTTTTAGCTGTTTTAGAGTGTTTTAGTGTGTTTTGACATAAAAATCCAAAAATCTCATAAAAATTTGAAAAATTGTTTTGAAAAACCCAAAAAGAGTTGTTTTTGTGTGTTTATTTATGTCTTAGGGTACCTTCCAACACAATGATGAGGATTTGGTTTTTAATTACATGACTATTAAAGAGAGTTATAAACATGGATGATAATTTGATTTACTCTTTGGTGTATGCTTGGTTGTGGTTATAATTTATGAATTCACATGCAATCATAAAGGAAAAATCAGTTTTTGTAACATGCTTGAAGGAAGGAACTCAAATGAACGCTACAACCTTGTGAGACTTGAGCCTAAACGTTTATTTGGAGAGTTAATAATCTATGCACCATTGTTTTCTAAAGTCGTTGCATGATCTCATTATTCTTTGCTTGGTTGCTACTTAGAATGCGCTCATCATTTAGTTCCAAATGCTAGAACTCATGCCTATTTCATTCAAAGCATGTTATTGATTTGCATAACACATATTCAAGATGAAGTTGTTTAGTGACCACCAAAGCCAAATTGCCGTGCCCCTATTTCATTATGTGTTTAAGTTTAACCCCGTTGAGCCTTGTTAAGCCTATGTTCTTTGTTAATCCACACTATCCTTACCTAGCCTAGTTTTAGGACCATCCATACCCTTGTTCTTGAAGCATAGTAAAGCATGATTTAAATGAATTTTTTTTATCAATGTATTGCAGAAAGCAAGTGTGGGGGAAGTGATTCTTGTGTGTGTGTGTATGCCAAAGTCCTTAATAAGGCACGGGTAAAAAAAAAAAAAAAAAAAAAAAGTTTGTTAAAAAAGGGTCCAAAACATTGAATTCGGCCCTAAGTGTTGCATGAATCTTCCATTTGTATTTAAAAGTTGATTCTGCATTCTAAAGTGATTTCCAAGTGTCTATTTCATTGCTTTGCTTGCTATCGCTTTAAGAATGTTTGTTATCCCTATCCTTTCTTTGTTAGCCATTACCCCCAAGACCTGTTACAACCCTTAACTTCAATCTTGAGTGTTATGTGTTGCAATTTGTGGAGTTCGAAATTGGTATGAGCATATGGTGTCACTGGTTCTCGCATCTAAGTAGTAGCATTACATTCATGAGATCATATCTAAACATGCTTAATAACTCTAGAAAATTTCTTTCTTTGTTATAACATATGTGAGTCCTAGTCTTTCGTGTTTACATTAGTCTTCTCACATATACTAGTGTAGGGTGTGTAGTCAGAAAATGTGTGTGAAAATAGAGAGTATCTTGTAAGAAATTGATCAAATTCTCAAAGGCATGTTACTACATTCAAAACATCGTTTTAATTGGTTAATTGTGAACTAGTAAGTGGTGACTGTGATTAAGTATGTGCACAAGTGTAAAGATGACCAAAATCTGTGGGAATGATGATTTTTAACATGTCATGTTTCATTAAAAATCCCTAAGGCAAATGTTGGAAGGTCTAGGTTGTGTTTTGTTTGTTTCGTTTGTTTTATTTTGCTCGAGGACTAGCAAAAGTTAAGTGTGGGGGAATTTGATAGGAGCATATTTATGCGACTGAGTTAGCTTGTTCTCATGCGTTTATGTTGTTATTTCTTAGTTAATTGTGTATTTTAAGCTATTTCCGTGTGTTTGTAGGTCCATAGGCCTTATGAAGCAATAAGATGCATTTTGGTGCATTTTGGAGCAGTTTTGGGCTTGGAATGAATAGCACATGCATGGAGCAAGGTGGATGGACGAAATTGAAGACTAAAGAGGCTAGGAATGTTTTAAAGAGAAAGAAGAATTAATGTAAAAAGGACAAAGAGCTCAGCCACAAAAGGGGTGTCACTCCACCATTCACCTTTCCATCATTGCCGTGCACCACCATTGCACTCCCTTTGAATTCCTATGTCGTGCATCATCATCCATGTTCCCTCCATTGACTCATTTTTTGCATCATTCCACCTCCCTTTCCTTTCTCTACCATGTGCACAATCATTCATGTTTCCTAGCTGCAACACCACTCCATTTTACCCCCATGCTTTGCATCATCACTTCACTTTCACCTTTAAATCATTTCAAACACCACTCATTGCACTCAATTGCTACACCATTCCTTGTTCCCTCCATCATTTCAGATTTCATGCATCATTACATTGAATCATTGCACTCAATTGCTACACCATTCGTTGTTCCCTCCATCATTTCAGATTCATGCATCATTACATTGAATCATTGCACTCATTTGCTACACCATTCCATGTTCCCTCCATCATTTCTGATTTCATGCATCATTACATTGAATCATTGCACTCAATTACTACACCACTTCATGTTCCCCTCCATTGCCATGCACTTCCTCTATAAAAGGAAGTGTATGTAACTTAAATTGAGTTCATACTTTGTTAGATCATTCACTCCCATTTCAACACAACCTTCATCCAAACACATCCATTCATCTTCACATCCATTCCTCCATACAAACAAACCTTCAAACACTCACCAACACCTTGTGATGTAGCAAAGGAAGGGAAGGAAAGTGTTTGGACGTGCTTGCTGTCCAACTTGAATCGTTGGAGCGTTTAGGTGTTTTCTTTCTTTTGTTTCTAATGTTTAAATTCATTTCCTTTCGTTTTGCTGTAAATATGAGTGGCTAAACCCCTCTTGGCTAGGGGTGATTTCAAAGCCATGATTATGTATGCAATATAATTTGATAAATTTCAGTTATGAACTCTTGAATTGTGAATGCAATTGGCTTAACTATTTGATTGATAACTTATTTGTATTTGTTCATTAAGGGTCGACACTTAATTGGCATGCATAAATCCGTTGCTAGAATATAAGGAAGTTTCACATAATCGTTACAAACTTATATTCACATGTAGTGGAGGTTGCTTATAAACGATCGCGTTAAGTTTAATTCCTAGCATGAGTGACATGATGTCATAGTTCCAAGTGCTTTGTCAATGCTTAATATTTTCATTAAATGTAATGATCTTTGATTGTATCTCTATTATGATGTCATGTAGGGAACTTTTAAAGAATGTTTTGGGTTGTCGAATGATGCCATCCAATCCAATAAAACAAGGAAAATCTGAGGGTTAACTAGTGATGTCACAGTTAATTTGGGGCATTGTCGTTCATAATTCAATGAAGTAGTAACTGGAAATCGAGTTGTTTGCATACATATCATGTGTGGAGAAAAAGCCTCTAGCTATCCCATCCATCATCTTATTTCTCAAATTTGTTTTACAATCTGTCTAGTTTTTCATACTTGTTTGTTTGTTTCAACTTCATCCAAAACTCAATCCCCCTTTTCTTTAGTGTGTCTAATTAGTTAGAATATGTTTTAATTTGTGTTTTTAAATGTTTTGATTCAAGTAAAAGTCAATTTTCGTCCAAAGTCATTCCTAGTGTCTAGTTTAAGTTTATTTAGTTGTTTTAAGCTGTTTTGAGTATTTTAAGTTTGCTTTGAGTCTTGTGAGTCTTGTTAAGTATTTTTAAGTTTATTTTTATGTTTTTTAGTCAGTTTAGAGGTTATTAGCAAGCCATCCTAATCCCCGATCCATAACGATCCCTACTTATACTTATACTACAGTTGTCAAAAGAGGATTAAATTTGTGTGTTAAGTTAATTTTCGCATCAGTGATGCTCATGTATAATTTTGGAGTACTGGACGTACTTTTGATCACCTGGTTGGTGATAATAGCGGCAGGCTACCGAATAATTTGGAGTACTGGATGTACTTTTAATCACCTAGTGGGTGATAATAGCGGCAGGCTGCCGAATAATTTTGGAGTACCGGACGTACTTTTGATCACCTAGTGGGTGATAATAACGGCAGGCTGCCGAATAATTTTGGAGTACTGGACATACTTTTTTTCTTTATTTATGATTACTCTCCTGTGGGGTTATACAGATGTCTTCAAAAGATAAGAAAAGTAAATCATATCATTCAAAAAAGCTGTTGCAGAAGGTGGGGATGGCAGATGGTTGGATAATGGGATAGCATGTGCAGTTGGCAGTTGCTTTTACAGTGTCCCTCATGTGCTCTTGCAGAGGAAAGCCTTCCTTTATTCCCTACTTTTTCATGTAGGTGTTTTTTCAGTAGATGGTGGATGACTGTTGTCTCGTCACTTTGATGCTTTTCATTTTTTTTTTAATACTGTGGCCCAGAAACTTCATCAACTTTTTCTTTTTCTTTTCTTTAGTAACATCATGATCTATTTCTTCTTCTTTTCTTTGATGGGCATCTTTTGCGCTGTCATCGTGCCAAGTGGATTCCCTTAATCAACAAAGAGCTTAGGCTGCTGTGCATTATCTCAGACACCAGCGCCACCGACAATCCCAGTCGCCATTCCGGCGAAGAGTCCGGCCAGACCGCAAGCAAGGCCGGATGACAAGTGAGTATACCCATCAAACAGATAATAAGATTTGGCCTTCGGGTTAATCCCGGTGCTAATAATAACAGCTATAATAAGCCCATAGATCCCGAGCACTCTTGCCATAACCACCGGAACGATCGATTTCATCACGAGCTCCGACCGAATCACTCCCATGGAGACCATGCCCATACCACTATTGGCCGTCCCATAGGCGGTGCCCATACAGAAGAAGACGAGAGTTGTGGCGGCATTGAGGAAACCGAAGAAAGTAGCGGTTTCGTCGCCGCTGAAGGTAGAAGAAGCCATGTATCGCTGTGTGTGTGAGTGGGTGTGTATGGTTGCGGGGATTGGGTGGTGTGAGCGAATCTGGGGGTTTGGATGAAGACGAAGAAGCTCGAACATCTACCCTAAATCAGCAGCATTTCCATGAAAGTAAAGCATCCAGAATTACCTATTTCTGAGGGCGCCTATCATCCAAATCAAATCTGTAGTTTGGCAATGGGACCTTACTAAAAACAACAACTTTCAAATATAGATGGCTATAAAGCCCCATTCTGCTTGCCAAAGCAGCTATTTTCTCAAAGTCGCATCTATCTTTTTTCTCCCTCATAACCAATGCTTGCTTCTTCTTGTCATGTAACAGCATGGTAAATTTTTGTTCCCACTCATTATGAGATGAGTAAGGACTATGTGTCGGATGCGACGATAACTCAACTTCATGATCGGAGCCTTCCTCGGAAACGCCATCGTCGTAAGCAAAAGAGTGATGAAGCTTGGGCTTCTAAAAATGCTACTGTTGCTGACTCTGGTAGTACAAGAAATCGTCTTTGTTGTGGCATCTCCGCATGCGACTCCGACTGGTGGCACCTCGGAATCTCCGCGAACCACTCCGCCTCAACTTGGATCTCCCCCGTGCTCTGCAGCTTTCCCTCTGAAATCTTCGGCGGGTTGTTAGGAAAATTAAACTTGGCGGCGATTGATTCCGGTGAGTCATTTCAGGTGCTGATTGAGTAGCCTTTTGGAGTCGTACTCTTTGATTTTTTTACGGGCCATCGGGTCAGGTTTTGTTGGATCTCACTGGCATCGTCAGAAATGGAGAAGTCGAGTTAGGTCGGAGTCTTTTACCTTTTAGGTAGCGGCCATTTCCTCTGCCGAGCCTTCCTTATAGCTTTCGCAATTCTGCAGATAGGCGTTTCAATCCAAGCATCCAAAGTTACAAGTTCATTTGACATGGAGCCAGCATCGGGACCATGACCCATATTCAGGTCAAGGTTTATTGCATCAGACGTCTCCTCCACCCATCACAACCAAAAGGCTGGGTCATGGTGAAACAGTGTCGTTGATGATTAGCTAGAGCTGGAGTGAGCTCAAGAGCGAGTTGGAGACCGCCTGAGCTGAGTCTGCCTCGAGTCGACTGGTTATGAAGGGCCCTCTTTCTCTAATCAGGGGTCTAGTCCACTGAGAAGGATTAGATGGATGAGTACAGGCAATGAATTTAGGACTGGGCACTGAGGCAGGAGAAAGAGAGAAGGAGGGAGAAAGATAAAGAAAAGCTGGTTTCTTGGGTTTTCGCATATTCACGGTGGAGGTGAAAAAATGAAAGAGAACCGACATAGCTTTTCGTGTCGTTTCCCACAGACGGCGACAAATGTTGATGCACAAAATCAGAGGGCTCTTGGAACAACGTAAATCCGACCGTGAATCTGCAAGAAAGTAAAGAACATAAGATGTATCGTGGTTCACCCCAATGTTTGGGCTACGTCCACACTGATGTTGATTGTATTTCTGTATATGAATATATGGATTACAAGTGTGAGGGGAGTCCCCCAGAGCAAGAAAGAGTTTGTGAAAGGGTTGTTCTGAATATGAGAGCCTCTGTTTGGGGATGTGAGGCTTGAGGATTGTGAGGGTGAGGAGTCCCTTTTATAGACTAAGGGCTCCTCCCCTTTTACATAAATCATGGGCTCAATATCTGGAAGCCCAAGCAACGAGGCCCAATATAATATGGTACTAACACGTGTCACACACAATTCCCAGCTTGTCCTTGCAGGAACCACCAAAAACAATCAGAAGGCATGAAAAAGCCCAAGGGCAATTCGGCCACTGGAAAACCACCCACCCAGCGCTGGCAAATGAGGAATTTTACTGTAGAAAAGGAAGAAACCAATGTCAAAACCCAAACAAACCAGGGGCAGATCAATCAAGACACTATTAATGAACAAAGGATTCAATACCGGGAGAGACTGGAAACTAAATCCAAAAAAAAAAAAAAATCAAATGATGGATCTCTTCTAAGACAATTTTGTGAAAGAAAAACAAAGGATTTGAGAGCAAAAGACGGGCTGACGAAATGGGAGAAAATCACATACTCATGAAAGTGAAAAACGAAAGAGGAAAGGTAAAGCAAAAAAAATGCGGTCGAAGCAGAGAAACAAATGATGAAAGACGCGTGGCCAGGAAGGGCATAACTGACTTTTTGCTGTATAAAAGTGGAAATAGTATACGGAGCAAAGAAGAAATCAAGGGCAATTTCGCCCTTACACAAATTGTCACATCCCGGCCCGGGCCCCTACCATATCCCAGGTTCGACTCCACCGTAACATGATATTGTCTGCTTTGGGCCCCGACCATGCCCTTACGGTTTTGTTTCTATGAACTCACACAAGAACTTCCCAGTGGGTCACCCATCCTGGGATTGCTCTTGTGCAAACTCGCTTAACTTTGGAGTTCCAACGGAACCCAAAGCCAGTGAGCTCCCAAAAAGCCTCGTGCTAGGCAAATATGAGAATATACATATAAGGCTTACATGATCCATTCCCCTGGGCAATGTAGAATGTTACACAAATATCAATTAATCTAAATAAAAATCATACATGATCCAAATCAATAATCAAATCTAATTATTCATAAAAAAAAACAAATTTTCAACTAATTCATTAAAACAATTAGAAATTTAATTTGAATAAGTTATGAAGAACTTACTTTGGAATTTGAAGATGAAATTTAGGTGGTCGTTGAAATGATCGCCGATGTGGGGTGGGTAGGAGTTGAGCGTTACAGATTAAGTTTAGTAGGATTAGGATTCGAGAATTGGAATTGGAATTGAGTTTGGAATTTGCTACAGCCAGTGAGTCAATTTTTTTTTTCTTTTTAGCTGTTACTTGCCTACCTTTTTTCTTTTTATAAAGTAACCTGGTCCATAACGACGTCGTTTTGGTCAGTTAAAATTTAAAAATATATATATAAAAGGGACATAAAACAAATTATTAGGGTTGTAACGACGTCCAATTCTAGTCAATTTGACCTATGCAACAAACATTTTAGTGAAGTAACGACGTTTGTCAGGCTTGTAAAAATTTAAATAAAAGACCACTTTGTTTTATATATGTGGAAAAGATCATAAGACACATAAAACAAATTATCACAAAAATAACCTTAAACAAAATATTATGCCATCTACAGTTGAGATATATGCAACGATTAAGTGTAGATAATTGCCAAATTTTAGAAGGTGATTTTAAATTGGTGTAATTTCAAATATTATAATTACTATATTTGACACATCCCGACCTGGAATGTCCACTAGAACCCCGAATTGGGCCGTGTTGGCCGACACCTAAAAGGTGACGAAGCCATAAAGTGTGATAATGTATAAAATGTGAATAAATTAAAATCTAAAAGTGCCTAAGTACACGAGTGCGCGGTGAGCGGATCTGGACCCATTTCACGCGTGATACAGAGCATAGGTATAGTACATTAAGGTGAGATAATGATTATACCATCATAAAAAGACATCTGTGCTGAAAAATGCCACGAATCCTCGTCGATACAGAACTCTGCTGCTAGAACCTGGAGGTGTACAAAAATAGAAAATGTGAGTGAGTGAAACAAAACTTTTCAAACCAATTCCAACTACCAAATGTAGTAGCCCCTTGCCGTAATACCTGTATAATTTCCCAGAACATAACAGGCGTGACTATAAATCAAAACCATAACCAAAATAATAGTCTTACAGTTATGCCACGTCAAATATCTCAACAGGAATAAGTAACCCAGGTGAAATAAACCAATATGAAATGGCATGTTAGCCGGATCCACCTATCATGTACGGTTGAATCAATATCTCATCACATGCTAGCCGGAGTCACCTCACGTGACCTGTACGACTTATCCATATCTCATCAATCAAGGCTAGCTCATAAGTCGGGGACACCTCTAGTGACTTGTACGACTTATCCATATCTCATCACATATGCTAGCTTATAACATATCTCATCATATATGCTAACTCATAACATATCTCATCATATATGCTAGCTCATCACATATCTCATCATATATGCTAGCTCATCACATATCTCATCATATATGCTAACTCATAACATATCTCATCATATATGCTAGCTCATAACATATCTCATCATATATGCTAGCATCTCATCATATATGCTAGCTCATAAGTCGGAGTCACTTCCAGTGACCTGTACGACTTATCCATAACTTAATAAGTATACCTGCACACAAGTTGGAACCACCTAAAGTGGTCTGTACGACATGACTGGGTGTAAATAAATACGCTCAAGTGCTACGATCACGTGAAGACTGTGCGAATAATCGCAGGTTACCTACAAGTCGAAACCACCTATAGTGGTATGTACAACATGACTATGCACCTACCTTGGATCCAAGGTGAGCGTAAGATGCGGGAGGTGAACATCACGTGAAAGACTATGCCCTGGCCACATGCGGGAGCACTAACACCGGGGTGTAGGTTTATGAGCTCTAACTACATCTAATATAACATGTACGACTTATAGGCAACCTGTACAATAAGGTCGGAGTTGCCTAAAACATAAATGTAGTCATGCCATAACTCCATCATTTCAATTAATACCATAAACTCCCCTGAACTTACCTACGTGTCTTGCGTTCACCTTTGCACTTCATAGCGTTCACCTTTAATTATGTGCAAGTAACATACATGTGAATATACCAGGATGTAAATCTGAAATTCAACCATATCATAATATTTCCAAACATATAAACATATATACAAATGGCATAAAATGCATAAATTGTATTGCCCCACTCCCGAACTAATTACCTTCGGAAATAATTATCGGTGATAAGCCCAACTAAACACTAGCTTAATTAACTATCATTACTAACTATTTTTCACTTCAATGTTACGATTCTTCACACATTGATTTATAATCAACATTTGATCACTAAAACATAAGGTTAAATCTCACATTTTCCACCAATCTCCTTCACATTGCTCAATTCCCCAAACAAGGCTATTGTCTCAATTATTTAGTCTCATTTATTGTATGGCAGCATCTAACGTCTCGTTAAACTGCCTACGTACCCTAAATAGGGATCAAGCCAATCG